GGATGGGTGCAGGGGTGTTCCTTTTCTGTTATTTTTTTTTCTCTCAACACAGTCTGGTTCAATCTGTTTCCTCCTGATTATGTAGTATTTCCCCTCTGCTGATAACTTCTCTGCAGCTTCAATGCTACTGCTGATACGCTTACATTTGAATGATGCCAATACACATAGATCGGATCCATCGGATGTTTTTGCCTGAATTATGTATCCGACTAATCTATAAGCTCAAAAACTACTAGTTTCTATTAATTGCTTAATATAGGTTTTTCAAATTCACAGGTTAAGTCTATATCTTAGGAGGCTTAGATATAATCTGATAAAAAGAACCAGATGGGTGGCAGAGGCTGAGCTGGTTGTCGGTTTGCGTCCGGGTTCTCGTTGGTGTGGACCTCAGGTTTAGTGGGTTCCCATGACTGAGCAGCAGCCATGGTTAGACTGGCACCTGTGGTGAGGAGGCCCCGTCTCATCTAAACCACAACATCACCATCGTCACAAACAGCCCATCCTATCCTCGCTGTAGCTAGAGCCAGCATTTAATCAACATCATGCTTCGCTTTCTCCTTCTCATCAGATTTTCTTCTTTTTTTCTTCTTCTTAAGGTTGTTTACTTTCTTGACTGCAAAACCATTTTCACAGCAATCCGAAGCCAAGCAGGGCACTGACCTGCTGGTACACATCAAACGATTCACAGAAATAAAGAACTGCCAAACAAACCACAAACTAATTGTTGTGCTGCTTCAGATTTACCTCACCAACTCTTTCCATAAGCACGCTTTTAATCTCCTCACTCTTGTTTTCCCTTCTTCGTCATCATTAGCGTTTTTATTGCAGCTTCTTTCAGACACTTTTATTCATTTGCAGAAACTAAGCAGGAATGACAACAATATAAACTTTTCCCACAGTAAACTTGGAAGCATTTTGGTGAGTCACTTAAAGGTATTGATAAAGAAATTCAGTGAATGCCTTCCTTTCAGTTTTGTTAGTTCCAGGTATTTTGTTTGCTGGCTCACTGTAATCGCGAACAGTTTCATTGACCTGCACTATTTTCTTTTGGTGACAAGCCAAAGAGTCCACATATTAGGTGCTTGAGGGAGAAAGTGACACATTAAAGACGCATACTTTACTTTAAGACCTAATCCTGTTTATTATGAGGACTTTACCAGGCTAACCCGCTCCACTGTGACCTGTCAGCTTTTTTTCTTCCCAGAGCCTTTTTGCCTATTCATTAGTTCCTCTTTAACACCTCTACAGGATTTGACCTTTGTTAAGGGATTATAGTCACAGGTCACAGGTCAAGGTTCAGCCCGAGTACAGATTAGCATAGAATGTTACTGCTAAGAGTCAGCAAGAAGAGTCCATTTGGTTTTGTTGGACCATGCAGAATTTGCTGTTTATTTATTTTAATTTTATTATTACATATATTAAGGTAGCCCAAAAAGCAAGAAAATTTGTGTTTGGTAGATTGTTTTATTCTTTTTAAAGGCACAGTGTGTAGGATTTTGTCAATTCTTTTAGCCGAAATTGAGATAATCACTAATGACAATAATTAGTGGTCGCCACACAGGTAGCCACCATCTTGCACCGCCATCTTGTCTACGAWGGCTCATGAAGGACAAACTGCGGTGGCGGCGTCAAAAACGGTTTTATTTGTAATACTATAAATGTAATATTTGTTGTCTGTCTGCTACGTTTACACGGACAAAAGTAATCGGATTAAACAGTCGTTTGGAATAAAAATGTGTCATGTAAACAGCCCGTTCGGATTATTCTGATCCAATTGAGCTCGATCCGAATGAATTTTTAATCCGAATGAAAAGGGTGGGTTATGCCGATTGATAATCGGAATGAGGTTCATGTAAACACTTAATCGGATCATCTTATTCTGATTGTAGAAAACTGACCTGTGTGCATGTCTGCTGACTTTCATTCACCCGGTGGGACAGCAGCGCTCCAGCTGCGCTGCACCGCGCAGAACTTTTCCTCCTCGCTCTCTTAACTGATGAAAAAGGAGGCAAACAGCAGACGTTGCTTCGCAAAAAATAAAAATAAAAAGCACGTATTGCTTCATCTGCAGGCTGCAGCTAAACCGAGGAGACGAGTAACGACGTCTCTACG